TAATGGAGAAATGCTTTAAGCTGTTCCCCCAGGCCTGGGATGCTTATTATTCAAGGCGAGGGGAAGGTAAGAGAGTTGTAGGGAAAGACATGTGGGCAGTTCCAAACCCTGTTTTACTATGTAGCAGGAATCTTTAGAGTCTGACCAGAGCCTGGGCCCACTAGTGAGTAAATTAACTCGGAATTATGCCCTCAGTGCCAGCTGCAATCTTTGGATAGGCCCAGATCTTTCTACTTGTCCTACTGCAGCCTAACTTTAGCCAAGTTTAGAGGATGTATGTTGGAAAATGTACAGCTTACCCTCAACACAGTCATAGAGGATGCCATTCCACAGCATCCATCTCAGATTGGGCCAGCTGGAATTGATACACTCTCAAGTGACCCAGGAGTCAGAGATGTCATCCATTGACCTCTCTACCCTCCCCCCTCCAAACTCCCAGCCAAGGCACGGACAGACCAGCCACAGACCCCGGGCCAGGAATAGATGGGGCTGTCAGTCAGCTGACGCATCCTCCCTCCATGAGTAATGAGTGTGCCCCAGGCCTGGGGGAACAGCTTCAGGCATTTCCCCATTAATCTAAGGAGGTTGATGCCGTCTAAATTCCAATGTCGGGCCCTAGTGCCAGACAGCATGTGTTTCAAGGCTGCTGCACAGGCCACCTGGCTTTCTGATCACGTAGCCACCTTTCCAGCCTGGAAGGCCTGTTACACTGGGATCTAATTCCCAACATGGGGAAATGTGACTTTTTATAATTTGAACAAGTGTCTCAAAGAACCTCACCTCCAGCTTAAGTACCCCTCCCTCTCTCTCTCACTCCCAGGGGGTGGGGAGGGGGTTTGAATCCTAATGGAAGCTCCATTTGGAGAAGGACCTGGGACCAATCCCTCGGGCCCCAACCCAAACCTCTTACCCCAGGCGATGAGACAACGGAGAGGGGAGTGTGGCGTGGAGCTGCCAGGATTGGGGAGAGTACAGGCTGGCACTGCGGCAGGATCTGGAGCCCTGCTCTGGACAGCAGCTCTATACCTAGCAATGCATACATTTCTTTTGATTGTTGATAACCTATTTAATTGCACTGTGACCAGAGAACATGGTCTGTATAATATTAATTCTCTGAAATGAGCTGAGACTTCTCTGTGAGCAATTTTTCCCAGTCTTCCCCCATTCTTATGCTATTACTGAAATTTATGCTCTGTGGTAATTTCAAATCTAAGTACAAGACAGCAAGTGAGGACCCAAGCCTGCTGAGACTTAAGAAACGCTTCCTAAGACCCACTGTGGGGCCATGGCTGGCTTCACAGGCTTGCAACTCATGCCCAGAAGGGTCTGCGCCTGGTGTAAATTCTCTGCTGTTGCTGCCTCAAAAGTCTAACAATTTTGGGACAAGAAGTCCCCATTTTCACTTCATAGTGGACCCACAAATTATGTAGTGGATCCTGCCTGGGGGTCTGGGGCCCTTGAAGGAACAAACGGACTCAGTGGGCTTCTGTGGGCCATTTTGAGAGAGGAAGAAAGGTGGGGAAAGGGAAGGAGGAAGTGGAGGAAGGTGGGGTGGAGGAGGAAGAAAGGAGAGAAGGAGAGCCGTTTCTCTTTCAACTACCTGATTTGGGCACACAGGTCTCTCAGTGCCAAAAACGTGCCTTGTTCAGCCTTTGCTCGCTTGTCTCCAGATCTCTCCATGGCTGGCTCCTTGTTCTCATTCAGGTTCAATTCAAATGCCTTCCTGTCAGAGAGCTCATGTCCACCTAACCTGTTCATCATAGCACTGTGTTCTCTGCCTCCAAAATTCCTATTGCATTCTAGTGTTTCACTGACCAGTCTGTTCACTTTATCCATGAACACACACACACACACACACACACACACACACACACACACATTCCTCCATCAGAAAGTGGGTTCCATGAAGGCAGGGACTTTATATCTATCCTCTTCTCCTTCTCTCTTCCTTAGGAATTCAACAGAATGTTAACGTCTGCCAGACTCGGGCAAGTTATTCGATCTCTCTTCATCCATAAGACGGAGAAAAATGATAACAAGACACAAGTGCAAGGACACAAACACCTAGAGCAGTGTCTGGTGTGGAACAGGTGCTCAGCAAGAACTCATCAAATGCATGAATGAATGAAACTGAGGATTGTTGAGCCCCTACTATGTCCAAGGCACTGTGCTGGGGGGTCATATTTTTTCACTTTTTTATTAGCAACCCATCTTACAGATGAAGAGATTGAGGCTCAGAGAGGTTGAATAACTTGCTGAGGGTCATGCAGAAGTGACCCACTAGATCCCTGATTAGAATGCAGAGTCTGTCCCCTCCCCTCAGCCTCCCCCAAATCCACTTGGGGTAATCCTACACACTGCATGGGGCTTTGCCAGAAACAAGACGCATTTCCTCACACCGGTGTTCTCTGATCCTTTCACGCCTCACACAACCCTGAAACACAGGTGAGGCCCCCTCCAACTTCGGGAACTGTGAGTCAGGTTCTGTGCGGGTATCAGAGACCCAGACGAAGAGAAGGCAACAGACACCAGTGGAGAGAGAGAGTTAAGGCCCCAGAGACAAAAGAACATGAAAACACAGATAGAAACCTAGAGTTCAGCATGGATTTCCAGGGGCCCAGGGCCGGGAGCTCAGAAAAGCTGGATCAGAACAAGGGGGTGAGCATGAAGCTTGTCACCCAGAGCGGAGACAGGTAACAGCATCTCCTATTAGGATGAGGGCAGGGTCCCTTGAAGGCCGGAGAGGACCCCCCACAAGCAGAGACTGGAGTGATGTCCGTGACCCTCTGCGACCTCACCACCAGGATCTCGCTCCCCCGGGGAGGACCTGCTCCTTGCTTCTCACCACACCTTCTGTCCAGGCTACCCCCACACCTCTAAACGTGCTATTTTTATCATTTTTATTTATCAGAAAAGCAATCTCTTGCTATGCAAGTGAAAATGGTTCAAAGGTTTTGCTCATTGGCAAAAATTAAAAAATGCTAGTATAGACAGCCACTGAGTCTCATTATAATCAATGCAAAAGCTCCTGTATTTCTGTTAATGGAAAAGCCAGCCCAAGCATCAAGCAGAGAATATCGGCAATAGGGCTTTGTAATTACAGACGTCGGTTCTGTCAGGACACTAACAAAACTGGGGGCGTGGGCGGCGGCCGGGAGGTCCTACATGGGCTCCCGAAGTGGGGAGCAGCTGCAACATCAGTATTTACCATTTCACCAGCAATTTGGCAGCTGTGCAAATTAGCAGGGAGTGGCAGAAACACTCAGAGTGTGCATAGCAGCCGTTTTCCACACACTGAAGATTTTTTAGATAGAGCCCTTTCTTGAGAGGCAAGAATGTGGGGTTTCAGAGTCCTATGGGTCACTGTCCCGCTGAGGCTGTCCACTTCACAGGACAGTTTGAGGCGACATGACTCTGAGCTGCTTATGACCAGCCCGGGACTACCTCAAGGGAAGAACGTGTTCACATTCTAAAATAGGGTATATAAAGCACTTAACTTATACCAGCAAAATCTCCTAAAGAGGGCACCAGTATAGCTAGAGATGTGTGTGCATGTTCATGCAGTTTTAGAAAATATAAATAAGCTGGAAGAAAACAAAAATTTAGGTCACCCGTAAAGTCCTGCCCCAGTGTTGCAATGTTGGTGTGTTTCCTTCCAGTCTTTTTTCTTGACGAGGCATGATCGGCTCTAACACGGGCACCTGGTTCCTCTTGCTGGTTAAACTGCAGCCGATTTGCAACCGTCTCTGCTTCCCTCGCTGTCTGTCTCATGCCCACACCTCCCACCGGTCAGCAGCTGGCCCCTGCCTTCGCCATGCTAAGAGGGGTGCGGCAGGCAAAGTTTGAGTAAGAAACTCAGCAGCCTTACGTTCTAACTCGGTGTACGGTGCTAATTTGCTGTGTGACCTTAAACTTGAACCATGAGGTCAGGGTCCTCATGGGAACGGAGAAGGTTGCACTCCGTGGTCTGATGCTTGACTGTTCTGGCTGCAGCAAGAAGTACCCCCGACAGAGACGAACACCAAGAGGGAGTGACTGCCCACGCAGCCCGCACAGGTGTGTGCAGAGACAGCTGGCTGGCGCTCGGAGGAACCACAGCTGAAGGGTAGTCTAAGGCATGTTGCTCCTCACCGAAGCAATGCAACGAAAATGCCTCTCCCCGCTCCCCAGGCTTTGCTGCAGAGGCTGAGAAGGGGCAGAGAGGCTGCGGCAAGATGGGCGGCTGTGATTTGCCGAGAAGTACCATGCCAAGGCTACACCAGCAGCTTTGGGGACAGGACACTTGGGGCCCCATGACCTGTGGCTGCTTGAGACCTGAATGGAGACAGCGGGAGGCAGCCTGTCCATCTCCTGAGGAAGGAGCAATGCCCTGACATTGACTTTGAGTGGCCTCGCCAATCACTGCCTGTCTCATCTTGCACCCTTCAATCTGGTTGCCTTTATAAAATTTCTTGCTATTCTGTACAAACGTAGCTTACACTCTGATGGCACTTATGTGCCCCGGATGCTGTCCTACATGATGCTCATCTATTAACTCATTTAACCCTCCCCAACAGCTCTATGAGGTAGGGAGTGTGGGTTGATAAGTCCAGCCTGTAGGTCCAAAGTGGTCAAATCTTGGCAATTAGATGTGATCTGTCCAATAGCATTGCGTCCACTTTACAGATGAGGGAGTCAGGCCCAGGCTGGATGTGTAACTGCCCAAGATCACACACAGCAGTCCACTTTGCAGCCACTCTCCCAGATTACCCGCCCCCCTCACCCCCAACAAAGCCTTGGCGAGCTGGGCCAGGTGTTTTTGGCGGTCACAAGGAGACGTTAACACCAGCGGGGCAGCATCCTGTCTCTCCTCACCTGAGCCAGCCAGTTCTCTCTCCCACCCCCAAACACATCTGCGTGTCCCAGCAGATGCGGCCCCCAGAGCCCCCAGGCCTGCGAGGGGGAGCTCTGTCCACTGAAGACAGCAGCTCTCCAGCCACACCCTGCCCCTTGTAGGTTACCTCTCCGTGTCGCTGTCGCTGGACGCCACCTCTTCCAAGGCTGCCTGCAGGTCAGCAATCCGCCGGATGGACGTCTCCAGGTCTGTCTGGAGGGTCTGCCTCACCGCTGCGAGCTCCTCCACGTACTTCTCCTGGAGACAGAGACCACAAGCACGTTGACCTTGGGCAGGAGCCCCACTTGCCCGTGAGCTCTCTGGGGGGACACACCCCTGGCTGACCCTCGTGTTCACCGAGCACCTGTTACGTGGTGGGTACCCCACAAGGGGCTCTCTCTGTGGACGGGCTCCCTGCACCCTCAGAGAGATGCTCTGAATTTTCTAGAGGAAATGGATGCTTGGGGGCCTCCAGGGCACGGCCATGGACAGCGCTCACTCACTCATGCTGGTGGTGCTAACCCAGTCTGTCTGACCCCAGAGCCACGCTCTGAACCTGCACGGCCATGCTGCCTGCAGAGTGGGCGCCCAGCACACCTTGGACGGAGGAGTAAGGGTACGAATCAACTCATGTTTCCCGGAACAGTCACAGAGGCTGCTTCCGGAAGCCGAGTCTACCCCAGGGATGGATCTGGGAGCAGGAAGTTGCAGAAAGGGCAGAACAAGAATAGTTCCCTTTCATCCCTGTCACCTCGATTCCTCCAGCTTCCCGTCCTCAAAGGCAGCAAAGGCAAAGATGGACGTCCCAGCGGGGCTGCCCCAGAGCAGACAAACACCGCGGGCATCTCCTGAGGTCTTTCTGTGCCCAGAGCTGTGGTGAGTGCTCAGTGAGCTCTAGGGTGGGGTCGAGGGCAAGGATGCACCCAGCATCCTCCAAGCACAGGACAGCCCCCACCATAAAGAAGGACCTCGCCCAAATATCCGCAGTGCCCGGTCTGAGAAACCCTACATAAAACCTGGAATCCGACCTTCTGGGAGTTAACCCGACAGGGAATAAATCAAAAGGCATAGCAAGGCTGTGTTCCCGAGGATGCTGGGGCTGATGACACGGAGAAGCGGAAAGCCACCCCATCACTCAACAATTGGGAACGGCTAGGGACATCAGAGCGTGTCACTTTGATGCTAATAGCAGACTCTGACATTAGAAATAAGGATTGCCACAGCATGGAATGCTTCTGTGAAATCATGTTAAGCAAACGGAACAGAACAGAGAACCATCATGCCCATATCTATATGCAAATGACACACACACACCTGGAAAACACTTGGTGAAGACAGGTTCCAAGAGGACTTTTCTTTTAAGCTGTTCTAATTATGTAAAGTTTATTTTCTGACTGCTGTTTTAAGGAACACATATATACGAAATGATGAGAACATGGAAGGGTGAAAATACAAGGATTTAGGATCAAACCTAAGAGCAATTCTCAGCTCCCCATTTAATACTCACTCACTGTGTGACCTTGGACAGTTCACCGCCCCTCTCTGAGCCTGGGATCGTTTTTCTTTATGTTGGAGATTGGGAAATTGAGGCCAGTGAAGTCACTCAGGGTAGTAAGGCCCCATGTAAGCCCTGGTCTGCCCTGCTTCCAGGCCAGCGATCTTTCTGGGGCTACATGTATACACCCCAAGAAAAGCCAGTGAAAACCAGGGCTGCTGTCCATTATAGGGACACGCTGAACTCTTCTTGGCAGATCGGCTTGTCCATTCACGGGATTGTAAGTCTGCTCCTTTCAACTGAGTTTGAGTCTTTTCCAATTTGAGAGAGAGAAAGAGAGAGAGAAGGCACAGACAGAGAAAGCCCCAGGGCCAAGCCGAGCTGATGAGAGCAGGGGTGGCGTGGGGAGGCAGTGGTGGTGCGCCAGGGGCAGGCAGAGCGTTGTAGCTGATTGAAGCTGCCAGCTGTGAAATCCCTATCTTGCTGCTGACAAGGTGAGAGACGATCTGAGGCAGGGCCCCCGGGCAGGAGGCCAGTGGACTGTCAGAGGAAATAACAGACACCATGGGGTGGCGACACGGGTGCTCGCCCCAGGACGCCAGCATGTCAGCTCCAAAGCCACCTAGAAAAATGGCGGGGTGCAAAATCCCAGCAGCTTCCCGGAGCATCTGCTCAGGCTTGGCCCCTTCGTAGTCAGCCGGGATGACGGCGTCCCTGGGAATCAGCCACCTTGTCCCTGGAGATGCGGCACCTGTGTCTTTAGAGGACAAGAAGACGCTATCCAGAGTCCACATCTGAGCCATCTTAGGCTCGTGGTGAATGCTCATTTTAGGAAGGAGGAAACTAAAGACCAGAGCAGTGGAATGGCCTGTCTGAGGTCACGCAGCTGGGAGACCACAAAGTCAAGATGGGCATACAGGACCTGGGGTCTCAGGTGAGAGCGCTCTAGGCCACAGGTGCTGAGAGATGAGAAGAGAGCACAGCCGGCCCCTCCCAGTTGCCCTGGGTGAACTCTGCCGTCAATGTCACTCGGAGGGAGCAGCTGGGGCCTGAAGTCCCAACCCTCGCGGAGCCTCCTGGGCGGAGGACAGGGACAGGGCAGGCGCCGAGTCTCAGGGATGGCAGGCTCTGGGCTGGGACAAAGCAGGTGAGAAGAGGAAATGGGGAGCTGAGATGGGTTGAATCCCAAGAAAAGTGAAAGCAGGCCCTGGAGCCAGGATGCCTGGGTTCGAATCCCAGCTCTACTGCTCACTGGCTGTGTGACCTTCAGCAAGTTACCCAACCTCTCTGACCCTCATGGGTAAAAAGTGGGCAGTTGTAGCCCTTTCATTCACAGGGCTGTTGTGAGCACTAAATGAGCTTGGCAGAGAGGAAAGGCTTGGCCAGTGGTGGTATTACTATCATGCCAGAGGTAATGATGAGTAAGTGGCTGGGTGTCCCCATGTCACTGAGGAGGATCGCCAAGGTCACACAGTGAATAAAGAGATTGGAATGCAGGACTCTGGCCCAAAGCTTTTTCAGTCTCCTGCAGAGGAAAGACAGGAGCGTTAAGCAAGGGCAGCATAGGGGATGAGTTAGCTAGACGGAGTGAGGAGAGCTGACAGCAAGGAAACCATAGACAGATGAGGATACACGGACCAAGGATGGGGTTTAGAGGACCTGCCGCTGCTCAACACCCTCCACTGCGCTCTCTCGCCCCCGCGCCGCACCCTCCATCTGCCAGGGGACTCACATCCCCGCTCACTGGGAACACCCCAAGGAGACAAATTGGGGAAATTTAGAGTCTGTGTAATCAGCAATCAGCAAACCTTTCCCGCTCCAACTCGAAAACCAAACAGAGTCTGCTGATTGCAGAGACCAAGTCATCACGTGAAATGAATGCGGTGCCCCAAACAGTCTGCCTGGGGCAGACTAAACAAGGCCCCAGCCAGAGATCGCTCCAGAGACACGGAGAGGGGCGCACAAGGAGAAGGCAGCACGAGGGAGGCACCCCCTCTCAGTCCAGGAGTCAGGCCTTCTCCCACCCTCCGTGACACCTGACCAATGATGCTTGGGGATGGATCAGGACTCCTGAGTGCAGTTAGGGTGTGTTTGGAGGCCAGGTAGGAGCTTAGTCTTCTCTGCGACTACCTCTCTTTGGAGATTTGGAGCATGAAGAAGTTGGGGGGAAAATTAGGATATGAAACTATTTAGATAGTAAGACGCATATAGTAGAAACCCATGAATAAATATACCATATGCCCATATTAATCTATAGCTCCAACACAGCGATATATACATTGTAATAGACACATACCACACTTCTATAATAGACATTCTATATATATACATATATATTCATATACCACTCATTCACTCATTCACTAAACATTTACCAAGCATTTACCACGCAACAGCGCTGATCTAGGCACAGATGATACAGACAAAATCCTAAATTCCAGGAAGCTGGCATTCTCGAGGGGACCTGATCCATCTGTATGGCCCGTGTCTAGATCATGGCAGGCACTCAATATATGTTTTGGGACTGGGTGAATGGAATTATTGCATGACTCTAAGTGGGAATGAAGGAAGGGCAATGCTATTGCACACACCTGCTAATGCGTATATCTTATACACCACGCATGCAAAGACAAACACAATAGCACATAGTATGTAGGCATGTTGGCCTCCCCAACACCACTTAAGAGAATCATTAACCCATGTTAAACCCCAAGCTACTCCCCCTGGAACATGTCACACAGCTGCCTTGTGGGAGCAGTTCATATGATAATTAGTGGCTGCAATTAAAATCATCTCCTCTTGTGAGGTTCAATTAGAGGCTAATACTTAAAGCCGTTGTTGGTTTTCTCTGCTCAGGGCATCTCAATCTTCAGAGGACCTTCTCCTGTCTGCAAACACACAGGACTCTCATAGGTCAGTTTCCTCGGCTCTGGGGTCACCTCTCCAACGTTTCGAGATGCGCCCCCAAGATCGACCAAAGTTAATTTCACATAGTTTATAATTATAGATCAAACTATCTCAAAACACCCCCCGAAACTTGATGAAAATTGATCTTATTATTTTCTTCTGATGCAGTAAAGACAAAGAGAATCTTCATGTTACAGAGCTGGGTGCTAAAAAAAAAATTATAGACACATATAAATCTGTATGTGTGCGAATGTGTGTGCACACGTGTGTAGATAGACACACACAAACACCCCCAGTCTGACACATAGCACATACATAATGAATACTTGTTGAATTCATTAATAAATGAATGTGTGTGTTTATATTTCTCACATGGGCAGACACTCTGCTAAACGTTTGAAATACCTTATCTCACATCACCTTTATTAGGACCCTTGGGGTCAAGTACGATATTAACACATAAACAGGAACCTGAGAACATTACAACATAGTAAGAGAGTTATTTTCTCTGTGTGGTGAGATATCAGGTGAATTTTATTTTCCTTTGTGTACTTTTCCAGATTTTCTGCAAGGAATATGAATTACTTTTATTATCAGAAAGTTAAAAAGTATAGGACTTTATTTCTCTCTACCCTACATTGAACAAGCATCTGGTCCACCTGCCCAGTGCCTGTCCTGGCAGCCTCATCATTCCCATTTTATAGATGAGCAGGCTGAGCCTCAGGAAGATTAAGCCACTTGTCCCAGGACATGCACCCAAACATGCCAATCTGGGGTTGGACCGGGGTCTTCTGTGGACCCGGCCCACAGCTCTTTCCTGCTTTGCCTCTAATTACTCCTGTTTCATTCAAGGGTG